AAATGTGTTGTTATGAAGTAATAGTTTCTGTGTATATTCTGAATTTGTATTAATATACTATTAGTTTAGCTAAAATTAAAAATTGATACAGTCTACTGATATGAACTATTAGTTTATGTGTATGCTGTGCATTTGTCTAAATATATTATGTTTCGTTACTATCGTATTAGACTTGTATTTACATATGTAACTTTAACATTATTCACATATGCATTTAAATACGTACTATAGTCTGTTTGTTCATTTACATAGTCTAATAATCTGTATGTACATTATCATAATGAACTATGTAAATATCTGTATCGATATTTGTTGCATGTTTGTGAGGCTGATACATACACACTTTTATACGATTTACAACCGAATCGAACATAATGGCACAAAAAGAACTAGATCAAGGCAGCTGGACCTGACAATTCCGATCCATCCTACATTGAACAGTAGACTTCTTTGCAAATGTCAGTCTGCGAAAAGCGCATTACAAATGCCTGAAAAGGATGCCATTCTACCGGCTAATTTTACCGTTCGCCAAACATGAAATATCCATCTCGCATGTCACAGGGACACAAATCGGCACAGTCCTGATATTGAAAACATACAACAAAAAAGACAAAGTGTTCAATATTGGAGGAAAAGAATTACATGTCACAGAGGAAGATTGCAATCTAATATTCGGAATCAAATCAGGTGCAAGAAGCATAAAGATTCGCAGAAGCACAAAACCAGAATTTGGTCTAACCAATCGTAAATTTAGAGACAAAGAAAAAATACGATTGGGAATGTTAAAGCCTAAGATGATGGAATACATAGACAGTAGGGATGACCAGGAAGTTGAGGATGTGGTTCGTATCATCATATTTCATGTACTTGCATCCTGTTTTTTTGCAACTTCTGGAGACCAAATCAGGTGGTGGATGGTACTACTGTGTGATGAACTGTACAAACTCTCTGATTACAATTGGGCAGGGTACATTGTCAAATTCCTGATGAAATATGTGCAGACAACAGAACCATCATTAGTCCGTGGGTGCACAACGTTATTGTTGGTATGTCAGCATAATTGTATATACATTAACTCATACTGAACTCTGCATAATAATATTTTGTTAGTGTACATAATTGTGCTGCAGTTCTAAATATGCTTGCTAGTATATTAATTTGAAACATAGTGTACCACTTTCTCCATATAGTATATTTATATAATCTTAATAGTATATTTACATAGTCTTAATAGTATATTAATATTTAACATGTAGTCGATTGCTAACACTAGTTTACTTCCTCAGTTCTGGATGTGCGAGAGGATAATATAATTGAACCAATCGTTGCTGATGCTTTCCCAAGGTTCCAAAAATGGAATCTGAAAACACTGGGGACAGCACTGGAGCACAAAGCCATCAGAGACATCCGCAACGATGAAGTGAACGAAACGACACTTATTCAAAGACAAGAAGAAACTGCATTCTTGAAGAAGGAATCATCTGTTGTGGAGAAAAGCAGTAAAAGAAAAAGAAAGGTTAAAAATAAAGAACACAAGAAAGGCAAAACAGATGACACAGGCAACAGTTTTGAAACAGGCGACAATACTCGAAGTATCGATGTCCCAGAAAAATTCATGAAGAAATTACGAGAGAAGTCCTCAGAAAATCGTCGTCTTTCCAAGCTTGCACTTCAATACGAGACCGAATCCCATATACTGAGAGAGAAGAACAAACATCTTGAATACCTCTTGGCCAAATACGTACTAGCCGCAGCAGTGAGTCATGGGGAGTCGGCCCAACCCACAGACCAATCTACGGAAGGCAAATTAACTGCCGAAACACTACGTTGCGCTGCACTCGACGAACAACCAACTATTATAAAAAAATCTTACGGAGACTTGGAAGCAACAACAACACTATTGAAGCTACAGGTTGATGCCCTGACAGCTGACAACAACACCCTCAAACTGTTCAATAAAGGGCTTCCAGACTCGAGTCACATACTGGATACCAAAATGCATGAGTCCGCTGCTAAATCGACCACTCCCATGAGGACAGGCTCGACTTAAAACCCTCTCACAGAAGACAGTATGCCATCATTTCGATTACTGTCACAAACGCAACCTGACCCTAATGAAATAGCAGAAGAACACGAGCATCATTTACCAGTGACGTACGTTGACGAGACTGAGATACAGCTCGTCGATCTCATAACTGATGTAACATTGCTAAAAGACATCAATAAGGAGAAGAGTCAGACGATATTCCACCAAAGCGAGGTAATTAAGCAGCTGAAACACACAATATCCAGCACAAAAAATTCTAGCAACTCTGGTGTCATTGCAGCTGATCAAATGAATGTATCCTTCGAGATTGATGGGGGGCTCAGGGACTCCAACAGCGAAGGCACAAACAATGAAAGTCATGACATCCATAATTAATATAAGCAAGTTGATTCCGTACAGAGTGCGACGAGGAACCCAAAAAGCATCGACAGGTCCTTCCATCCTCCTGCAGACATAGATCCATATCGCTATCTAGTATTCCCGCTACATTCTGATAGGAATCCCAATAACGTGGCAAGCCATTTCACCCTCGTTGTTTTCGATCGCTTGGAAAAAACATGGAAGTTCTACAACTCGCTCTTGCCAAGGGAGAATATTACCGACAAGTACTTTGTCGATGCACATGATATGGTAAAAAAACTCTTCACCAAACATCCACATTCAAATAAATATCATACATAAATAATTACATTTCACTTTCTACCACGAAAACAGAAAGCAGCAATGAAAGCTACTGCAAGTAGATACAACATCGACATCAATTTCGATTTTGATATTGAAGTCGTTAAGGATTGCCCACAACAAAAAAATGGCCGCGACTGTGGTGTCCATAATCTGTACTGCATAAAGCATATTTTTCGTCAACAACCAATCGACCCGAGCAACGCAAGTGATGATTTGACTAATATGTGCAAAGAGATTGTAGAGACTTTCTTGGAATGGGGTAACAAAGAGTATGATGCATAGGCCAGTCCACCTTGTGATAATGTGGTATCAACCAGTTTTCTGAATGATATGTTTCGGTGCAGTTCTACATTCACAAAACTTATTTTGAATACTATGTGAAATATGATGTTTTCAGTATTAACTTATTGACAGCAATTTATGAACTAAACTCAATATATGTGTTTCCTGTGTACTATCTCTATGAAAATGTGAGCACATAGTATATTACATACATGCTAATAGTATATTATTATGGTAATAATAGTACATTAATATGGTACTAAAATATATAGTAGTAAATTATACATCCTATATCAGTCTGCAACACTTTCGACACACCAAAAAACAAACATGTGATGAATAGCATATTACTGCAATCGATGAGATAATCTCATCACAATTATGATTTCACATTAGTATACATAAAAATATCATATAACAGTCAATTGTATTTTTCAATCACATAGTATATTAATGATTTCAATATAGTACATTAATCTGCTATGATAGTATATTAGGGTTATAGTAGTAGTATAAAATTGTATTACAAACAATATACCACTGAAATGACAAGAACACTGAGAACAAAACCAACGTAAACTCCATTCCAACATAACCAATAAGATACTTAAAACATATCATAACACAATCAAACCAATATGTCGAGTTAAAAAACTCTAGAACATTAATCATCTCATAATAGTATAATAAAATGATAATGGTAGTATCGTACGTTGTTCATAATAGTATACTAATGAATTACAGCGGTTTAACACTTAACTAAAGTTACAATGCCATTACATCGTAAACACGAAATTAATTAAATATATCAAATCTTAGGGGGTTTGGAAAATAACAACCATCGGAATCAATTGAATTCATTGAGTTTATGTCCTCGTCGCTATCATCAGGGATGCAATCGGCTTCTTCGTCGGACAACTGCACAACGCCTGCAGTCAATGCCTCACTTTCAGTGGCATCAACAGCTCCAACTAGTTCACCCCCTGTTCCAACATCATCAGAAACAACCATTTCATTATTATTACAAAATTGTGGCGGTTCGTTATTCTCAACATACAAACAAAACCAACACATGTTGAAGCCTATTCGTTCATAATAAATCATCATGTGCCTCGAACTACGACAATTGTCACTGTTCGACACACCACCATCATCCCCGTCAAGAATTGCCCAGGCCTCCTCATACATTGGAATTGCAATATCTCCGAAATCACGCCGCCAATCTGCTTCTGCGAAAACCCTCTCAATTTGTATCCACAACCTTCGGTCCATACTGACTAAAATTTATTTTATTCAGTAAACTACGTTATATATGTAAAACATAATTCCATTGATATGCTTATATAGTTCAAAAAAACCATCGTCAAACCCTATAATCAATATGATGCGTCCCCCCGGATTATAAAACGCATCGCTACGTAAACATGCCTCTTCAATTTATGCGGTTTAAATACTGACGACTCCTCAGAACGTACGCCTCTTTAGTTATCTTTACAAAACAACCGTACAAATCATTACATAATCGACTATGTATTACACGCTAAACTACTATCGAGCTGTATAGTCTACAATTAAAGACTATTATACTACAGTATATAATTAATTATACTATCGATCCGTAATTCGACAATTTTGTAAAAATATAGAATCACATGTTGATGTATCTTCGAATTTTAAGTTGATTAACAACAAAACTCTTGTAAAACTCACCATATATAGAAAAAAAAACCGTCTACAATACAACAAAACTGAAACATACTACTGCAAGGAATTAATTCGACTACGGTTATCATTATAAATAACTATGCGCATAATAATAAAATACTACGCTCGTTAATAAAAAGCATCCACCAGTGAAACACAATGATCAATATTTTGTTCGAAAATCCCATAAAACAAAAATATTGTACGAAAACCAAAATAGAATCCGTTTATGCATAACATATCAACCTTGCATAAACTAATGGAAAAACATAAATTATAACAATCACTTCCTACAAGTCTTCTTGTTGTGATTTCTTTGGGCTTTGCAACGACTACAAGTCATTTTCCGGGAGACACACTCACCCTGCGATGGAATCCTTTTCCTCTTTGGCCGACCACGTGTTGGTTTAACGTCAGGTGGTCCAATTACAGCAACATGAAGATCTGAAACTTGTCTCACAAAGGGTATAATTGAACCCGAATAACTCTCCTTGAATGTTGATCTATGGTACCATCTATCAATATAATCATACGCAGCAACGCCGCAACAAAGTTCAACGAAAATAACAGCGGCGGCATGTGCACATGGAAACCCATTGATTTGCCATAACCTACAAGAGCAGGTCCTTTGTCCAAGATCAACAACATCATTTGGCGACGAAAAAACTTCGAACACAAGAATAGAAGATCTTTTGCATATCCATGAACGCCCCTTGTCAACAGCCTCCTTCAATCTCTTCTCGGACTTTTCACACAACACAGTCGTCCATTTATTGCCATCACATAGCCTTTTACACAGTTGTGTCATTAACAACAACCTTATGCCATCAATCAGACTAGTTATCGGCAAGTGACGTTGCTTCTTTATTTGATGATTCCAAGACTCACATCCATTAGAAGTCATCTGTCCATATCTATGACCCTCGCAGTAAACATTAGACCACTTCTCTTTGGGAAGATCATCTTAGAAATTGCAAACTTTCGTCCCACCAGTAGTCTTCAGCTTGTCAATACATCGATCAAATTCTTCCTTAGTTGTCGCATAAGCACATGCCGCAAATTGTTGCAACACCGTCTCACGAAAGCTCGCAGGAACACCCCTGAACCTGTATTTCAAATTGTTCAGCAAATGTTTGTAACAATATGTGTGCAAACAGTCAGGAAAAATGTTCCTAACACCCTCAATGATACCGTGGTTGCGATCCGAAACAAAATTGAGCGTCGTATCATTGCCAATAGCTTCTCTAAAATGACTCAAAAACCAAGCCCAATTCGAATTAGTTTCCTCACTTACAATTGCAAATGCAATAGGAAACAAACCTGCACATACGAAAGGAAACCAAATTCATTATAGCATTTTTTCCTGTTTTATAAATCGACTATGCAGATTAATAAAGAAATACAATTGTACTATCATATGACTGTTAATAAACTATCGTATAACTGTTAAAATACTATCAAAGCCCAATGCAGTAAGATCATTACCTTCATCAGCATCTTTACCCACTGCACTAAGCAACACTCCCTTCAAAAACGTGCCATCCACCATGACAACAGGACGACAAAACTTGAATCCATCCAAACACGCTGCAAATGCTAAAAAACACCGTCGGAAAATCTGCTTCCCAACATCAACATCAAGATGAAAGATACTACAAGGATTTGTCTTCCCCGCTTCATCAAAATAAGATGGAAGGTACGAATATGAAGAGGTATCGTCCCCAAAAATCCTTCTTCTTCCCGCATCAGTAGCCCTCCACGCAACCCAATAACTTATGTCAACGCCAAATTTATCCTTCACTTGGCTCTGAATTTCTCCTGGGGTTATAGCCGGCATTGCACGTATGTCGTTTTCAATCAGGTCAATGATGACAACTGAATTCAGTCTTCTCTTACTACCGGTTCCAAATAACATTCCACATTGATGATGTTTGTTGTATTTCCGAATATAGCAGTACCCATTTGATTTATCCACAGATGCATGTATCCTCCACGGACATTGGCTAGCATTTTTGAAACGACACTCCGCTGTCACTCTCGATGTCTCGTTCTTAACATATGAGAATTCAAAACCCATCTCAATAGAGTATTTGATAAGCGACTTCCTGAATTCACGAACGCCGCCTTCAAAATACTGACCTACATCCTTAATCAAATATGCCCAATCCGCACTCAACAATCTTCTGCCTTTCAACTTCTCCACCACTCCCTCTACATTACCTTCATTAACAACCACACTTTCATCATACACACAACAGGGAAACCACCAACCTCTGCAGGTAATACATTCGGTGCAGGCAAACCTATAGGTTTTCCATCAATGTTAACATCAATACGATCCAACGAAAGCTCGGACAACATTTCAAACATCGACAGCATGTCCTCGTCGTCAGCCAAAATACATTCACCAATGTCATCCAACCTATATGTCATGCTTATATCCCATCCATCAAGTTGTGGCCACTTTGAAATAGCAAATGCAACTAATGAACCGCGAGAAAACCCATTCGAACACCTCTTTATAGCAACCAAACCACCAAATCTCAACAAAATCCGTACGAAATTAGCCATCTACAAAAAACTAAAATCATCAAATGAACTTAAAAAATGCAGAATACAAATAAGTGACTAAATAGACTACCAAATACATTTCAATCGACTACCGAATACATTTAAATCGACTGTTGTAAATAAAAAAACCAACTATCAATCAGTTTCAACTTCATCAACTCGACCACACCAAATATTTATTTCGATTACTGCGTAAACCAACTACCACATTCATATAAAACAACTCTGGTCCGACGCTTGCGACTACGTGAACCCTCCTCCAAGACAAACATCATCAGTCAATAACGATGTATATATCAACACATACTTTTTGAAAAACGAACTATATTAATACCAATTGAATCATAACATCAAGAAAAACCTTATAATGGCTAACCACCATAGTACAACAGCACTTACACATGACGGACAAAAAATAAACGAAAAAAAACTATACATACTAACCAGATAAAAAGCGCTCCGATCCGAGAATACTATCACGGCGGTGAAAAATTCTTCCTAGCCCGATTGAATACGCTTTGATAATGATGAAAATGATGAAACCACCAATATACTCACCTAAGTTTAATCCGTGATTATAGGCAACGTATCAGCAATCCCATATCACGTCGATAAGGAAAAAACCGACGTCCAAAAATAAAATAGGGGTATTATAGTGAAATTAAATAATATATTGTGCCAAGTTGGCATAATTGGGTGTATCTCAAAAAGGGAAAAATCAAATGGATCTACATCATTACAAAATCTCAACAAGGGGGTTAGCTCTAATAAATCCATTAATTTGATGCACCCCAACTCCTTGTTTAAGTGGGCTTCAGTCATTATATTACTTCTTTATGTTTTGAGCCTTTGTTTGTTGGCCCAATATATATGGATAATTAATTTAAATTAGATATTTTCAAGTGAAAAAGAAGATGTTACTACGGAACAAGAACGCCCACGAGTAACATCAGATCAAATCAATGACTGAAGATTAAAATCGATCCTTGATAATATTTTAATGTATTGTTTGATTTAATACACGTAGATCATATTAAATTACCTAGAGTTGCATGAAAACATGATATGAAACATCAACTAAAAAATAAATTAGAATACAATATGAAACATTAATTATAATTCCAAAGAAAATATGGAAGTGAAATGAAAACCTCATTTATGTTGTAATACATATCCATTATATATTATGGACTAAGCATTGTAGCGCCACCTAGTAATACATGTCACTATCTTCGTATGTTTATCTTAGACTAGCATGACAAATCTTGTAAATATATATATATATATATATATATATATATATATATATATATATATATATATATATATATATATATGTGTGTGTGTGTGTGTGTGTGTGTTTTTGTGTGGCTTTTTGTGAATGAAAATTGAACAGAAGCTTTCGGATACTATAATTTCCACCCTCTCAAAAGCATTATTACTCTCTTATTCTTATTCATAATATACGTATTTATATATTTTGTCTTGTGAGCTATTAGGATTTATTCTATAATGATATGTCTAATTGGCCAACCCAATGGGCCTACAATTTCTTTACCTAATGGGACACGAACTCAATATTTAAGACAACTATAACCGAGGCCCAATCACCTTCAAGTAAGGTTTGGGACCGACAATCTCAACTAAGCTATAAATAAAAGTTTGAACTCATTCCTTAAGGTACGTCCTATTAACTGAGCAATACTACAACATGTATTCTCTGGACTATTTCCACTATCCGCACGTTTGACTTGAGTGTCGGAGGAGTTTCCGCCGGATCAACCCCCGTCTTGGTTCACGTGTTCTATGATTGCAGGTATCTCAAGGTCATCAAGCTCGTGAGCCAATGATCCACTCTGCTTTTCCAACTCATCATACTTCAACTCTCTAAGGTGATCTATCTCTAGCATCATCATTTTCGCGCCGTCTGTGGGAAGGCAGACATAATCACGTAGCGCGCATGAAGGCCTTGAGACATTTGCCCAGGGGGAGTGTGACACTGCTAACGACCTCCCACCTCGTGGAGGCTCTGGCTTGCCACTTCCTCTTCCTCGTGCTCGGGATCCACCACGAGACCTTCCTCGGGTGTCCCACTAGATCCTCAGCAAGACCATCTTCTACTTGCTCCTCGAACGGTTCAGATAAACGATGAGGATCTTCAGCATATGACCGCGGAAAGCTTAGCTCGTGCTGCCACTGAAGCAGTGGCACAACTCGTGAGCATCCACCTCAGACCATAGGTCTCGAATGTAACAACCCAACCCAAGGTTGGGAATCTCATCACAATGGAGCGTGATCGCCTCATTCTAACTTGGGGAGCTATCCCACCCCAAGGTTGGGCATCTCATCCCAATGGATCGTGATCGCCTCATCCTAAGTTGGGGGCTATCCCACCCTAAGGTTGGACATCTCATCCCAATGATTGGACATCACCCTTACCTTTTAACCCCAAGGGGATTCACATCTCATCTCAAGAGCCCGATATGGTCTCCCAACTTCAAAATTAGAACATCATCCCAAGAGGTGGACATCAACCACCTCAAAAATAAAATTAAATAAAAATAGGGGTCAATCCGCGCGCGCGAGACCCCAGAACAAAAAGAAAAAAAAAAAGAAGAGAAAAAGAAACATATGGCGCGCGCGATCCAAAAAAAAAAAACAACAAAAAAAGAAAGAGTAAGTAAAAACGCGCGGACAGAGCACGCGCACGTGCACAACACGCGCCAATCGCGCGCCCCATCGGTACGCGTGCTCGCCGGAAAAAAAAAATAAAACAAAACAGTGCACAGTTTTGGCGCGTGGAAGCACCGCGGTTGCGCATGACGCGCGTGTGGTGGCCACACGCCTGCCAAAGCTGCACACATATCAAATCACACTTTTCAATACCTGCAGCCCCATTCTCTCTCCTCGTCTTGGGCTTCATGCGCGGCTCCTCTCACGTAGAAATTCACGCGGCTTCAAGCCGCGCAACTCTAATTTGCGTGGCTCCTCTCACATAGAAATTCGCGCGGCTTCAAGTCGCGCGACTTTATTCGCGCGGCTCCTCTCACGTAGAAATGCGCGCGGCTTCAAGCCGCGCAACTCTAATTTGCGCGGCTTCCAAGGCAGTGTAATCATGCGCGAATTTCAACGCGCTCCACCAAATCCTGCCCGGATTTTTTACGCGCTTCACCAAATCGCGTGGGAAGTTCAACGCGCTCCACCAAGTCGCGCCCAGATTTTTACGCGCTTCACCAAATCGAGCGGAAATATTCAACGCGCTCAACCAAATCGAACGCGCTCTCCAATAGATAAATAAAAATTATTATTTCTCCACGCCACGCCAGCAATTAA